AACTGGAGTATTAGATGAGGCAGACACATAAATGCCCAATACAGGACCTGGCACCTGGGAAGCATTCAACTAAACTTCAATCTCCTCTTTCTGCTTTCTTCTACTCAATTTAAACAATTAAAGTAATTCCAAAAATACCTATAGTAACAGACCATGGTTAGTTGGAGTCAGGGATTACCAGTCGACATACAAAAAAAAAAAAAAAGCAAATGAGAGGAAAAGTTCCCTGACCTACAAGAACTAAGGAGGGTAGATGAAGGGAAGTACCAGCTGTTTTTTGCTGGGCCTAACATATGCTGGTGGGAGCAAGCATCCCATCTCCCTCTGAGATGCATGCCCATGGCCATACACATTTGCTTTTTCTGACTCTGGCTCCTGGCTAAGCCTTGCCACTTACAACAAATCTTCCTAGAGCCACAGCTGTGCTCCACACAGAGCATGATGCAGACCTTTAGAGGCCCTAGTACTAAACATTTTTAATAGGAACATTTTTAGTAGGAACAAAAAGTTGTCTTTCCTAGATTTTTGGATTGTAAAACTCTGGCTGAAGTCACTGCATCCTCACCCCCTCTCTGACTCTCTTTGTCTGCCTCTGTCTTCCTGATGCCTGACAATCTGTGCATTTTGCCAGTTGGATAATCTGGCAAAAGTGCCAGGCACTGTCTGAGGCACTAGGAATACAGGTCCCCACATGTAGGCAGATTGAATTTTCACAGTGAGAAAAGTCATAAGCACACAAATAAATAATAAAATTGGATCCTGGATCTCAGCCAGTGGTTTGAGAATATATGTATAGAGGAATAATCTTCACTATCAGACACTATGTCAATTCAATTGGAGGCTAATGTTGCCATGACCAGCACCTCTCAGGAGCCAACATCTCTTTGGTGCCCCCAGAAAAATGAGAAGTGATGGAGATGAGTCAGGGCTGGAACACAGAAGACATTGCATTGGCCTGGTGTTCCCAGGAACCAGCCTGAGAGCAGGCATTGGGACAACTGTAGTGCATAAACCTTTTCCCAAATAAGCTATTATTCCATCCTGTCAAATTTCTTCCTCATTCATTACTGCTTCCTTTCACAATAATTTTCCTCCTGTGATAGACAGAGTTGTTACTAAGAGAAGCAGCAACGGAAGGTTTAGATGTTGTTCTTGGAGAAAGAGTTTCAAATGACGTCCTTCTTGTGGACTCTTGGAATGTTGTAGTCTTCAACATCTGCCAACAGGCTCAGTCACCACCTCCAGATGTTTAGTGACACACTGGACCATGTTTGTCTATCCATATATGAAAATAAAATGTGTGCCCAAGTTATAGAAGTCCAGCAGAGCAAACAGGGAAATGTGTCCACAGCTCAGATACATGCTAATGACAATGGGATTCTGAGTCAAGAAGGAATGTTGTAAACTCTTAGCTGAGTGTCATCTTAGCCAAAGACAAGCAGGATATTCAAAATTTCTCAGCAGATAATTAAATAAATCAAAAGAAGGCCAACCAGGGCAGGTACCTTTCCTACACCAGCGGATGCAATCAAGATCTCTCTGATTCTCTTTGAGAACTCCACCTTCAGTTTTCTGCCTTGTCAAAGGATCAATTCCTTCAGCTCTGTCAATATCAAGGAAGACAATAGGCTACAGAATAAGTTCATTTCTGGGCTGCTTCTCCACTCCCTCAAGACCATCCAAGTTATTGATTCTGGATAAGTGATCACAGCAATTGGGCTTAGGTTTTCAAAGACTGCCGTACTCATGACCCTGTGCTAAATGCACATAATGTATTCAATTCCCAGCAGAAAGTCTTGATGTTTTCCAACTACCCCCGTGTCCTGCTGAGCCTCCTTACATGTCGTATCCATACATATGACACCACATCACAGATGCAGGGTATTGAGGCATTTGCTATTGTGCAAGCTGTTGGCCTTGTCTGGAATGGTCATTACCTCTTTTATCATCTGGCTAATACCTGCAAGACCTGCAAGACTCTGTTCAGGGGCAATTTCTTCTGATTCTCCCATTTCTGGGCCAGGTCTTTGTGTCCCAGAGTCTTTATTGAATGAATACTCATTCAATAAAGTAACTACACTTACTCTGTTTCTTCAGATACCTTGAATCAATTCACAGAGGTTGCCTCTCATGGCTTGGAACACAGAGGGCTTAGAGAGAAGTAAATAATGGATGGCAATACTGGGATGATAAGTTAGGACTTTGAATGCCAAGACAAAATGAGATTGGACTGGGTCTGAAGGGCCATGAGGAGTCATTGAAGGTTTATGAGCAGCATAGTATCTAGACAAAGTGATGCTTTAGAAAAAGCCCTCTGAAGGCCGGCCAGGAAATAGATCAAGGAAAAGGAGAAAGCAGAAGTACAAAGACTCTGCCAGGGGCTGATGAAAGAATCCAGAAGAGCAGCAAGCCAAGGCCTGGAATTGAAACCCCGTGAGAAACACAGCAAAATAGAAGTGACAGCCCTTGGTTTTGTGGAAGAAGAAAAAAAGAAAATTTCAGGACTGGTAATTGAGAGAAAGCAGTAATGGTGGCTTTAACAGAATTGAGAAGTGGATGGAAAGGGGCTGGAGAGACCATAAAGTCAGTTAGTCATTCAAAGACAAGATTTCTGCCCTCAAGGGGCTTCTAGTAGAGGTTAGGTAGCATGACCTGGGAGTGAAAAAAGGCTGCATGTCCCAGCTCTAACAAGATCACTGATATCGCAGACCTGCTCATAGACCTAGGCTCAGCAATGACACAATTAAATCCACATGATTACACAGGCAGATAGCAAGACATCCAAACATATGATGCCACACCACAAACACGTGCACAGATGCTAAAACACGTCAATATAGTCTCCCCACTGATGGAGCTGTATTCTCTCACACTCACACAGACACACAGCTCCTCATTCATGAGACAGTCCTCCCTCAGCATCCACGGGGATTGATTTCAGGACCCCAGTGGATATGAAAATGTACAGATGCTCAAGTCCTTGATATAAAATGCATAGTATTTGCACATAACCTAGTCACATCCTCCTATGTACTTTAAATCATCTGTAGACTAATTATGATACCTAATACAGTGTAAATGCTATATAAATGGTTGCTATGCCATATTGTTTGTTATTTGCATTATTTTTCATGGCTGTAATTTTTTTCAAATATTTTTGATCCACAGTTGGTTGAATCTGCAGATATGGAAATCATAGAACCTGATTATACACTCATGATACACACATTTTGAGACGTAAAATAGATCAAGTGTTCATATAATAAGAGGATCACTCTATTAGTGGATTGTGTAGCAACAAAAACCAAATCAGAAGATTGGGTTGAGTCGAAATCATATTAGAGAAGGCTTTTTTTAATATCATAAATTTTGCTTTATTTTTATTTTTATTGATACATAATATTTTATATATGTGTGGGGTACATGTGATTTTTTTTACATATGTAAAATGTGTAATGATCAAGTCAGGGTATTGAGGGGTATCCATCACTTTGAGTATTTATCATTTCTATGTGTTGGGAACATTTCAAGTTTTCTCTTCTAGCTACTTTGAAATGTACAGTGTAATATATAGTTGCTAACTATTGTCACCATACTCTGCTATCAAACATTAGAACTTAAACTTTCTATCAAACTGTACATTCGTACCCATTGTCTAACCTCACTTCACCCCCGTCTTCTCCCACTCACCCACCCTTCCCAGCCCCTATTGTCTGTCATTCGACTCTTTACCCCCATGAGACCAACTCCTTTAGCTCCCACATATCAATGAGAACATGCAAAGTGTGTCTTTCTATGTCTGGTTTATTTCACTTAACATAATGACCTCCAGTTCTATCCATGTTGCTGCAAATAAGATGATTTCATTTTTTATGCCAAATGGTATTCCATTGTTTATATGTACCACATTTTCTTTATCCTTCCATCTATATCTTGATAGAGATGTGTATCAGATTGATTCCATATCTCTACTATTGTGAATAGTCCTGCAATAAGCATGTGAGTGCAAGTATCCCTTTGATATATTCATTCCTTTTCTTTTGAATACATACCCAGTAGTGAGATTGCTAGATTGTATGGTAGTTCTATTTTTAGTTTTTTTGAGAAATTCCATACTATTTTCCATAGTGGCTATACTAATTTATATTCCCATCAACCATGTATAATAGTCCAATGCATGATATTATTTCTAAGCTAAGAGCATACTTTTGCTATTAAGCTTTATGCTCAGGTATGTGAGTGGTGGTTCCCTCATTATCCATGCATTCTTTGCACCGACTCATAGATTTTCTGATTTGCTCTTCACCTCAATCCTATGAGTAATTTAAGGCTAAGTGTGTTATTATTCCCACCTTAGAAATAAAGACACCAAAGCTCAGAGAGGAAAAGTCTTGCTCAAGGTCATATTGTTAATAAATGATAGAACAAGGATTTAAATTCAGATCTGTCTGTCTCCAAGGCATTTACTCTTCCACCATCATGTGGTATCTGAAATAGCTCACAAACTAGGGTAGCAGTCATTTAAAAAGTCTTTATGTATTGCATAGAAACAAGGAAGAATTGTTGAGGCTGATGAAAAGAATATAGTCATTATTTCCTTTTCTGTATCATTTTTAAGAAGAGTCCCAGTTTTTAAATTATGGTAGAGAAAAGAAAACAAAGCAAATGCCATTATTTGTTCAAATAACAAAAGCATAGACAAGGTGCTGAGTTCCCCTAGAATAGAACAGGAAAAGCTCTCAAAAAAAGAACCTTAAAGTTGAGCTTCAAGACAAGCCTAAAAGAGAGGAAGGTCATTAGAAGTGTCAGGGGAGGAAAGTGGACAGCAGAGAGGCAAGATTCCCATCAACAAAAATATTTTCATTCTCATTTCCCTCATCACAGAGTACCCAGGCTGGGCAGCAGAAGCTTTGTAATCATACCTGTGCTATGGGCAGCTGTGTGAGTGTTGGGATCAAAAGGACCACAGTTGGTCTAAACTATGCTTTCTTTCCCAATAGGATCTAAAAGGACAGGAGTTTGCACCTTCACATCAGCAAGTTTGTAAGTATGCTCATCTTCAATGCCTTTCCTTGTGGGGAACAAGAACATTTCTAGTGGTTCTATATGTAGGAAGTTCAGAGATGAGTCTTTAAGTATAAGTTGCTAAGCTGAGGGATGCAAATCCAGAGGAGAAGTGAGGCTCCGCTGCAGGCACGAAGAAGGCAAAATGGCACCATGGCCAAGTGCGTGGACTGTGGAGTTGATGGCCTGAACTCAAACCCCAACTCTAGAAGCTACTAGCAGTGTGACTTTGGGAAAATAATTTCACCTGTCTCTGCCTGCATTTACTCACCTGTAAAAATGGTTATGCTAGATCCTACTCAACAGGGTTAATGTGAATTAAATCAGATAATTCCTATAAAGGGGTTAGAACAATGTCTAGCACATCAAAAGTATGCAATCGATTGCTTTTTATCATCAGCAATACCATATTTATAACTGCAATTAGACCATGCCTAATCCAACATAATAGTTTCTGATAACCAAAGGGAAATTCTAAGGTCTTCTCCAGAACTAATAGGCAAACAGAGGCCCAGAGAGGGAAAAGGATCCACCAAGGTCATATAGCTAAAGAATAGTTCCCATCCACTCTTCGTCCCATTTCTTTTGGGTCATCTATTCAGTGAATATAGTTAAAGGGACCATGGAAGAAGGCAAAAAGCCAGTTCACTCCCATGAAGGAAGTTTGAGGGAAGGAGCAGTGGGTTGTGCTTTATTGAGCATTGGCCATGTGCAAAGTTCATGCTAAGCACCTCCATCTATACTGTGCCCATCTTAGATGAGATGAGAAAACAGCATCTCAGGCAGGCTAGATAAACTTGCCCAAACCCATGGGGCCAAGATTCATTTGTGTTCAAGACTCTTTCTTCTGAGTCTTCCTGTTCTTGTTGGTGCTTGCTGCAGGTGCCACATTCCAATCCAAAATCCTGCAAGGAGTGGCACTGGACCAAGCCGGAAGAGATCAAGGTTTCTCTCCTATCATAGGCACCGTGCAACTCACAAAGGGCCATCTTCATTTCAGTCACCCTTTGTCTCATATGAAGCACATTTCTCCTTTTCTTACAGATGCACCTCTTAGAGCAGATGGAGATAAGCCAAGGGCACACCTGACAGGTAAGCCTCCCTGCTGTGTTTTACGGGAGACCATGGGCCAGAATCCTGAGATTTCTTTCAGCAGTTTAGCAAAATTCATTCTAGGGGCTTAAACTGAAAACTACATTCCTTGGTAAGAGACTCCTCCCCTCAATATTCCTGTGTGTGTGTGTGTGTGTGTGTGTGTGTGTATACATATGTGTGTGTGTACACACACACACACGTTTTCTTTATCCACTCATCTGTTGATGAACACTTAGGTTGATTCCATATTTTTACTATTGTGAATAGTGCTGCAATAAGCATGTGAGTGCAGGTGTCTCAGTGGAGGGTTTTTTGGATGTCTTCTTCCCTGTGGGTGGTCCAAAGGCCCATATCTCTTGGACATTTTCTTTCAGATTCTATCAGCCCTCTTTCTTTCTCTCCTGTCTCTCTCTCTCATTTATACACTGAGTCATTCAGAAATGGCTTCTCTCCAACTCAGAGCTGCAAGTAATTCTGGATCTGGTCACAGACAAAAAGTCCCCAGAGTTGCCAATTTATCTAGTTCATCTGTGCCCTATTCAAGATGATGTAACTAAACATTTACCTTCAGGGAGGTGTTTCCAAAGAATTTTCATCGGTGTATGGAAATCAAGAGAAATTCCATACTATCACCAGTTGGCCAACTTTCCAAGTCTAGTGTAGAAATCCCATGCACCTCATACCTAGAGTTCCTATACCTCTGAGACTCCAGAGGAAAGAGCAAGACAGTACAGAAGGATATGTTAGAATCCATTGAAAACCTAGAAGGTTAAAAAGGAAGCATACCCTCCTGACCTATAAGAAAATTTGCAATCTGCAGGGGGATATCCTTGTGGCCCAAGACATTGGTGTTATCATTTGACTAAGAGGAAATTATTTGTGGTGAGCTCTGAGTGAGGATTAGGACCAGGGAGACGCCAAGTTTCTATCACTTACCTCATGCCTGTAAGACAAGTGTTTTGTTCCAATTGATGAATGGGGATAAAACAGTTCAGTCAATTACTCACAGGGCAAAGAATGGGAATTTGAAAGGTCTGGTGCCTGGCCTTGTCATAGGTAAACAAGAGAGGCATTCGTTAGTTTTATTGGAGTCATTTGGGAAAGGATAATTCTTGCAGCAAGCCATTCTCCTAAACACAGAAGAATAGGGGGATTCCTTAACTTTCACTGTTCTCCAGGATCATAGGTCTCGGGTAAAATTAAAAATTTTCAGGTGAGACCACTCAGTCTCAGAAAGGCAAAGTAATTTGCCCCAGGTCACTAGTCCAAGATACTATTCTCTTTGAACAAATGTGTTTGTCCAGTCACATATTCTTCATTCGTTCCTCCCCAAAGCAGTTTTTAGCTGTTAGGTTTATTCGATCACTTTAGTCTTTTTTGAAAATGATGAGACCCTTTTTTAGCAAAGTCTACAGTTTCCAAATGAGCAAATTAATCCTCTCTCTTGTCTTTGCAGTTGTGAGACAAACTCCCACACAGCACTTAAAAAATCAGTTCCCAGCTCTGCACTGGGAACATGAACTAGGCCTGGCCTTCACCAAGAACCGAATGAACTATACCAACAAATTCCTGCTGATCCCAGAGTCGGGAGACTACTTCGTTTACTCCCAGGTCACTTTCCGTGGGATGACCTCTGAGTGCAGTGAAATCAGACAAGCAGGCCGACCAAACAAGCCAGACTCCATCACTGTGGTCATCACCAAGGTAACAGACAGCTACCCTGAGCCAACCCAGCTCCTCATGGGGACCAAGTCTGTGTGTGAAGTAGGCAGTAACTGGTTCCAGCCCATCTACCTCGGAGCCATGTTCTCCTTGCAAGAAGGGGACAAGCTCATGGTGAACGTCAGTGACATCTCTTTGGTGGATTACACAAAAGAAGATAAAACCTTCTTTGGAGCCTTCTTACTATAGGAGGAGAGCAAATATCATTATGTGAAGTCCTCTGCCACCGAGTTCCTAATTTTCTTCGTTCAAATGTAATTACAACCAGGGGTTTTCTTGGGGCCGGGAGTAGGGGGCATTCCGCAGGAACAATGGTTTAGCTATGAAATTTGGGGCCCAAAATTTCACACTTCATGTGCCTTACTGATGAAAGTACTAACTGGAAAAAGGCTGAAGAGAGCAAATATATTATTATGGTGGGTTGGAGGATTGGTGAGTTTCTAAATATTAAGACACTGATCACTAAATGAATGGATGATCTACTCAGGTCAGGATTGAAAGAGAAATATTTCAACACCTTCCTGCTACACAATGGTCACCAGTGGTCCAGTTATTGTTCAATTTGATCATAAATTTGCTTCAATTCAGGAGCTTTGAAGGAAGTCCAAGGAAAGCTCTAGAAAACAGTATAAACCTTCAGAGGCAAAATCCTTCACCAATTTTTCCGCATACTTTCATGCCTTGCCTAAAAAAATTAACAGAGAGTTGGTATGTCTCATGAATGCTCTCACAGAAGGAGTTGGTTTTCATGTCATCTACAGCATATGAGAAAAGCTACCTTTCTTTTGATTATATACACAGATATCAAAATAAGCAAGGATGAGTTTTACATGTATATCAAAAATACAACAGTTGCTTGTATTCAGCAGAGTTTTCTTGACCACCTATTATGTTCTGGGTGCTACCTTAACCCAGAAGACACTATGAAAAACAAGACAGACTTCACTCAAAACTTACATGAACACCACTAGATGCTTCCTGATCAAATATCAGTCAGCATACTCTAAAGAATAACCCCAAGTTTTGGCCAGGCATGGTGGCTCATGCCTGTAATCCCAACACTTTGGGAGGCCGAGGCGGGTGGGTCATCTAAGGCTAGGAGTTTGAGACCAGCCTGACCAACATGGAGAAACCCTGTCTCTACTAAAAATACAAAATTAGCCAGGCGTGGTAGCACATGCCTGTAATTCCAGCTACTCAGAAGGCAGAGACAGGAGAATTGTTTGAACTGGGGAGGCAGAGGTTATGGTGAGCCCAGATCGCACCATTGCACTCCAACCTGGGTAACAAGAGCAAAACTCTTTCTAAAAAATAAAAAATAAAATAATAACTCCAAGTCTTTAGAAAATATCATCTGAAACTGTTACATCAGATTTGTGGCACTCTCCTGACTGTGGAAGATAGCCAACTGACTGTGGATAGCCAGCTGATTAGTTCCCTGAAGAAACCTGAAGGCAGACACCTAGTTAACTAGATCAACTATATACTGCCAACTCATTGGATGCTGGGAGACAATGGACTTATTCCCTGGGGGAGAAGAAAAAAGAAGTCAATCACAAAATCTGAAGAAGTTAACCTAGATCTTTGAGGTTTGATTTGCAACTTTATATACAGAGTATTATGTGGGTATTTTTCCTTTAAAATATTCAAAGGGATTTACATATGGGATTAGCCAATGAGCCTAGCCAAGACCTTCCCTGGAGGAGAGGCTGGACATTGCGGAGGTCCCTTCTGTGTTTCAGTGGGTTCATATCCTCTAGTCTGTATGAGTTTCCTATGCTAATACGTCAAGGGCAGGAGAGGCAGCTCTGTTCTCTTAGCCTTTGTTGACTTGCCTGTAAAGCAGGAATCTGCCCATTTGTTTCCAAGGAGCAAATGAGCTCATGAGAATGAAACATGTTAACTTCATGCATTCTGTGCCATCTGAGCATTTTGGTATGATATGACCCTATTATAAATACTTCCTATTCTGGGAGACCTCACAGATGAGTCTGAGAGCAAATCTGGCACCAAAATCACTCTCATGCTGGTTTCCAGTAGACTGTAGAGGCAGAGATGCATTTGAGAGGCTCCTGAGCAGAGTGTCCAGTGTAGTAGGAGTACTTGATCAGTATTTCTTGAGTTATAATTAAATAAAAATTAATTTCTGATTTCTCAGTTTGGAGGTTAAGGCTCTAAATATATTTTCTACCCTCTGCTAGGCTAACTTAAACCAGGCTTTTTTCTTGCCTTCGGTTTCTCAAAACAGTCAGCACAGACTCAGTGGGAGCACAGAGGAGTGTGGTCACCTCCACCTGGCTCACCAGAGTCTTCATAGAGGAAGTGAAGCCTGGAAGAAACTGGGGGGGCCCCAGATGACCACAGGGAAAGGGCATCTCAGATGGAGGAATTACCCTTGACTTAAAGCAGAAAAGAAAGATTTCTCAGTAACTCCAAAACTTGCTTGACGAGAGAATATTCCCTCAACCAATTCCTAGGACAATATTTATTGGTAGATCAAGAATGTTTCCTCAATAACTCTAGTCTAGCTCCATGATCAGAACTAACACCCATTAAAAGCATAAAATGTTCTTTCTGAACCAGTCTTCATGGTGCATGAGAGCACCAAGCAGCTTGGGTATGCAGGAGGAGATTTGCACAGAAGAGTGGCCTGCTCAAACCTGCCCACTGTTCTGTAGGTGATCTGGTGGATCTGGAAATTTATCCCAAGACAGGAATTTCCTGATATTCGAAGACAATTGAGGCTTTGGGAAATTTTCTGCTGTGTATTTATTTGGCTCCTGTCATAAGCTTGTTTTTTAAAGAATGTATCATAGCTCAAGTTTTTACTGCTGATTTTGTTAAATTCTGTACAGTACAGTATATTTTTTACAGAAAGGCACAGTCAGACATTCCTAATATGGCTCATGTCAGAACTTCTGTTCCCAAGGCATTACCTCCATAGCAAAAATTAGTGCACTGTTTTCAAAAGTGAGGTGGGAAAATGCTTTTAAGATCATGTGATGTTTCCCTAAAAGGGGTTAATGGGGTATATTCAGGGTTTGGGAGGGAGGAAGAAGCATGCTTTAGAAAATAGTAAATTTAGGGAGAAAATGCTTTGCTGGTTAAATGTCGCTCAAAAGGCTGAATTCAAATCAATTCCACAAACATTTACTGAGTACCTACTGGCCCTGGGGACACAGAGATAAATTATTTAGTCTCAGACGCGCTCATTCTAACTTCCCAGCACCTCTACTGTCTGCAGATTCTTTAATTTATATTGGCTGTATCTATTAATTAATTTGCTAACTTTAGGCACGTGGATCTATTCTCATTATGAAAATGGATACCATTTGATGAAGGCTGATGACTAACAAAATGATTTGTGTTTAAGTGGTTTTTAAAAACTAGCTACTCAAGGATAGTTTTCCATAAATCAAGACGGTAAAAAACAAAGTTACCATTTTTTCTTGTAGAATCCATTATTTAAGTCACAGGCAGAGAGAGGTCATTATTTGCTATACTCAAGTTTGATCATCAACAACCTTAAAAATATTAGAACTTCGGCCGGGCGCGGTGGCTCAAGCCTGTAATCCCAGCACTTTGGGAGGCCGAGACGGGCGGATCACGAGGTCAGGAGATCGAGACCATCCTGGCTAACACGGTGAAACCCCGTCTCTACTAAAAATACAAAAAACTAGCCGGGCGAGATGGCGGGCACCTGTAGTCCCAGCTACTCGGGAGGCTGAGGCTGGAGAATGGTGTGAACCCAGGAGGCGGAGCTTGCAGTGAGCTGAGATCCGGCCATTGCACTCCAACCTGGGCGGCAGAGCGAGACTTCGCCTCAAAAAAAAAGAAAAAAAAATATATATATTAGAACTTCATGGATGACCCAGAAATGCTTTGAAAATCTATGTTTCTCAGCAATTACAGAGACCATGAACAAAATGCACAGAATCACTAACAGTTTGATGCTAGCATGGTTTCAGTCTATTTGGGAGAACAGAATTGCTTATGCTACTAAAATTTCTAATTTTTTTTTTACTAAGCTACAGTAAGAAAAGGGAAAAGTGTACCTTTTCACTCCCTGAAATATGTCAGGTTGAATCAATAACAGAGCACACCAGAACTCTTGGCTCCATTTCAATCTAAACTATTCAGTTCTCATCACCCCAGAGGAAATTCCGCCTCTGTGCTAGTCAATAATCCCCCTGGATTATAAAAGTTTAACTAACTCACTGTACACAAGGCATGGCCATTGCCAACATTCTCTTGCAATGTATTTTCCCAAGCCCTTACCCAATTCTGTTTCCATGATTGTGACATTGGGGATTAATTCTGCAGGACAGAACTGTTTATATTCTGTACCTTAAAAACACATGCAAAAGTCTCTTGCCTCAAGATTTCTGGCTTTCCTATGGCCCAGAGTCCTAGAAGTGTTTTAATATTTGTAGCAGAATTTTCAAGTGTACATCATTATCCTGCATATTAACATTTTTGCATCATATTGGCAGCTGGACCTACAGAGAATTTAGCAGACTGTTAACCTAATAACCCTTGAATCATTTTGCACCAGTAGTGAGAGAATGTGGATCAGAGCCACCACATCCATGCCCTGTCACTCTCTAATAACCACATTTACAACTTCCCCAGCTCTGAAACACACTTGCCTCCACCCCTTCCATCACCCCATTTTAAGATGAAAATACCATAGCAGCCTGGATGGAAGAAGTTACTTGCCCAGGACCACATGATGAATTAAGAGCTGATCTAGAACTAGGATGCTGTCTTCCTGAACCATAATCCTGGACTCTTCTAACCGCTCTACTCTTAGCAAATAGAGTTCATTTTAATGATTGGAAGGAAGATGGGAGAAGTATTTTCAAATACCTGTAGGACAACATGGAAGTGGGAGGAGACTTCTTCTGTATCTCCCCAGAGAAGAGAGCTGGGGCTACAGAGTTGCAGTTACAAGGTTGCCCTCTCTGGCTTGATCCCCAAAGGAACTTTCTACTCCAAAATAGAATTTTTCTAGGAAGCTATTTCTCAGTCCCTGGAGATACTCAAACAAAGGGCTTGTCACAAGGATTTTTGTAGAAGCTATTCTTCACAGAGGTTAGAGGAGAGATTAAGCCAAAGGATCTCTGAGGTCTTTTTCAAATCTATGATTATGTGGCCTTTTTTTCATTGACTTCCATGTGTTCTAGTTGATCATTACAAACCTGGCAGGCCTTCTCAAGAGTTCAGTAATCCGCTATCATTTTCCACTTGTCCAGAGAGAGTCCAACACAAAATACCCCTAAGATCTTGGCCAATAGAGAAACGTCATGGAATTTTAGAGATGACGGTATCTGCAGAGTTTATTCCAAGTTACATCATTTCAAAGATGAAGAAACCCAGGCTCAGAGGGAGCCATCACCTCCATGCCCTGTCACCCTTGGTGGCCAGTGCCAGACAGTAGCTAGTTGGAGTGCTAAAAGTAGAATTTAGATCTCCTAACAATAAGCCCAGCAGTCTTTCAACTTCATTCATAAATCATTTTTATTTTGAGCATCTGTCACATGGCAGCACTTACCCCGATACTAGGGAGATGAGAGGGAAGGTGACAGGCAAGTCCTACTCTCACAGTGTATACATTCAGGAGGAACAAGACACACAGTGTCAATAAATAAAGTAGCTGAACTTCATCAAATGATTTTATTCTTAAAGTCATTAAAGCATGTAATGTTCCCCTTTTTTTGTTTCAGGGGTGTAAAGATTCAACAAGTGTAGGTGTTTATGTGGTTTTAGTGACAAACCCCATGTGCTTTCATTGATTTTATGTTTTATGTTAAAACATCAACCCCAAGGTAAAATGCATATTGTATGTTGTTGGATACATACTTAACTGGTATGCATCCCATGTCTTTGGGCACTAGTGTGTATGAATTCTAATCTCTGTAAATGAAATGTTGTATGTGTTAATATATTTAATAGATGTAACTTAATAAACTGGCATTGAAGACTGAAGAATTTTCACACTAATTGTCAATTCTTTTGTTAATGTGTTCCTTTGTTTTTCTTTCTAGATTAAGTCTAATGGTAACCTCTTGGGATTAAAAAAAAAAAAAAGCATCTAATTCTCCATGTACTTGGCTGCAAAATGGCAACTGACTTTCATGGTTATAATAAAACTTAAAACAAACTTAATTTTAAGGTTATAATAAACCTTAAACTGAACACCACAGATGGTATCATTCTGGTCAGATGAGGGAAAGGAAGGGAAGGAGAGAGTCTACAGGGTTCCTTTTATGAATTATAAGACTTTGTAGTTGAGTAGCTTAATC